ACGACTCAAGCAATCGACATACCAACAATACCCCTTGCGGCGGTAGCCATGATGGTGAGTGTCACTTGGTCCTCTCCCGTTTTCACTTTCTGGGGGCTTATCCGAAGGTTCTTCACTTTCTGCTGGGGTTACAGGGTGGGAGTGGAAGTTCTGTTGTGAACATGATGATGCTGATTGGACGCTGCAGCGACGGAACACTTAGCGATGAATCATTCCCGTGGGGTTCGGGAGGAGAAAGGGCGGCTACTGCCAGGAGGGTCTGGGATACCCTTTTGCCTGCTTTCCCCACTGGTCTCTTATAAGCGCTGAATTTCCCCCCCCTGATTTGTTTTGAAACGGTATTCACCAGTTCGCAGTAGCTGATGCAGATCCCAGGGCTCGATCCCTAGTCCCCACCTTACCTGTGTACAGTACCTGTGTTGACCCGTGGAGTTGAACCCGTGACCTGTGTATTTGTAACAGCTGATAGGTCGTCGTAGGTTCCGTAGGTAGCCTGGGTTTGATCTGTAGACCTGTCGGTTAGGATTCTTAGTCAGGCTTAGAGGTCGTAGCCGCAGCTTCTCCGAAAGGTCAAGGTCGTAGCTAGTCCAGTCCTGAAGAGTCAAGGTTGTAGCTGCGACAGGGCCGAGGGGCCAAGTCCACGCCCTTCTAGAAGGTCCCGGTGGTGGCCTTTCGAGGTTACCCACGTTTAGGTAGAGGCAAGTGGGCAAGTGGGCAAGTGGTGGAAGTCCACCATGCAGAGTCAGCAGTCCCAGTCCAGTCAGTCCGGTCCAGTCAAGCAAGTACCGCTTGGGACTGTGTGCACCGTGGGCCAGGGAAAAAGGGCAGACCGACGAGTCACAGAAGTATAAATCAAGAGGCCATGCACAGCCATTCATTCATTCCTGCGGAAGCCATGCGGAAGCGCTGTCTCAGCAGCTTGTGCAAGGAGGTCTGCAGCAGCCCGAAGTCGAAGTGGGCCAGAATGGTTAGCATAGCGATAGGGTAGTGGCGGCCATAGCCGCCATAGCTGTAGGTGGAGTGCAGAGAGGGTGTGTGTGTGTGTCAGTGTTCAAGTGAGTCGCGTGTGGGATATCCAGGGTGATCCGGTGTGTGTGAACAGTGAGTTGTTGGGCGCTGAGTCGCCATAGCCAGTGAAAGTGAACTCTTATCTGGATGCCATATCTCTGAGATCTGTGTGGGCGCATGTCGCCAGTTTGTTGCGATGCTGTTTACATGCATGAAAAGTGTGAATGAGACGAGTCTGATTGCAGTTTTGCATACACTTGATTCGATCAGATGTGTCTAGACGTGGAGTGATCGATCTCTATACCGTACTATAGGGGTGATGGCCTGGCTGGTCGCTCTGATCTTTTGCTCGCACACCTGGAATCACCTTTTGCGTGATAAATGAACTCTCCTGTTGGGGAGGATGGGTATTACCTACCTTAGAATCGTGCTCGCTGATGACTAGCCTGCAGATGGAGGGCCTGAGACTGCCGCGCTGTTATCTCTCGATGATCTCTTGTGCTCACATTTGCTATTGCTTGCTTCAATTCAAGAAACACGTGTCCTTATCTCGAGATCATTCTTGTGCTCATTCTTGTGCTACGCACATGTTCTGTTGTCTCTGATCGAGATCACTTAGGGTTTCATTAGATTTAGAACTGTGCTCTACTTTTTTGTCCTGCGCACATGTTCTGTTATCTCTGATCGTAATCACTTAGGGTTTCATTAGATTTAAGAATGTGCTCGACTTTTTTGTCCTGCTATGACAAGTGTTCTGATGACTTCTGGTGATAATTGCGTAGATTTTTTATTATTTTTTTTTTTTTAAGCTCCAATCTATTTGTGGGGAACCGGGCCCAGTGTCCCTTATAATTGGAATACATTAATTATTGATGAGGATTTCGGATGATTCAGGAACACTTCCAGATGATTTAGCCCTGCTTTAATTTCCCCCCCGTTTTTCGACTTCAGAGGGTTTAATCACTGCTGCTTGACTACAGTAGGACAGGGCTTGAGTTTTGCATGGTGAGGGGTTAATCCTTCCCTTTCAGGGAAGCAATCTATCCCCCTTGAACATGCCTCATTCTAGTCGCATAGGGAAGCTGTCTCCCCCGGAGCAGTGGCTGGGGCTCTTCCAGCCCTAATGGGAAGAGGCGTGTGTTGGTACTGTATCCAACTTGATAATTTGAGCCTTGGGCACTGGGCCCCTGTTTTTCAAAAAAAAAAAAAAAAAAGGATGCCTCATAAGTTCTGCAGTTTTGCCCTTCTTTTTGCTCTTTTTTTTTTTTTTTAAGATATCATCTTTGAACTGACCAGCCCCAGGTAAATTCAGAGGTATCTTAACTCATCTGCTTCCATCGGAGTTCGAACTCAAGTCTCTTTCAACAGGTGATAGGTATACCAACTGCTTCCCCTTGAATCCTTAATTCTGAAAAGACCCCCTGGACTGATGTGGGAAATCTCACTTTTGCCGCAGGACTTGAAGCCCACCTAAAATCCTCATCCATGCCCCACCAATCTGATCCGTGCGGCCCCAGAGGGGGGTGTTGAGTGCTGCGTGGAGCAAGAGGTTGCCCATCACAAAACTCTATCAGGAAAAAAAAAAAAAAAAAAAAAAAATTCCACACCTTCTATTACAAGTCAGGGGCTCGTTCGACACTCCTTGGGGCGTCCTCGGGGCCCAAGGAAGTTTCCTTGGGGGTTTTCAAGGAAATTCCCGCCATCGTTTCACCTGTTCCTCGGGAACGTCGCCCCAGGACATTTCCTTGGAGCGATGTCAGACAAGAAAAAGAAAAAAGAAAAAAACATCAAATGTGTTTGAGGCCTTCAGCCAATAGGGTGCCGCCACGATCCAGATTCTCAGTTGTAACGTCTCTCTACCCATGTGCCCGCTCCTCTCCGTGAAACACGGATTCCTTTTGCCCAAGGGACCTCATGAGGTCCCTTGGGCAAAAGGAAGAAACGGCTGGGGAATCCTCGGAGCCCAAGGAATTTTTCCTTCGGAGTGTTCGGAGTGTTTTCACTTTTTTTTTTCCGACTGCATCCCCGAGGATAGGTGGAACGAACAATTCCTCAGGGAATTTACGCCCCCGAGGAGTGTCGAACGAGCCCCTCAGGCCAATCTGTTCTGTTTTCATTGAGAACATTATGATCCGAGTCATCTGCAAGGTAAGTGTCAAGACTCAGTGCAGTACAAGATGTGATCTATAATTTTGCCTGTGGTTGTCTGTAGGAAAGTAAAACGCGTATAATGGCATGTGTTTGCGAGCGTGGAGTGTAACTGATAAATCCCACTACCATGCGGACATGTCACAGCAAAATTTTATGGGAAATAGTCTAAATTGTACCCAGCATAAGAATACTTTGCCTTTGTAGGTAGACAATCAACCTCCTGTGGCATACCAACCGCAGGTTAGAGTTTAGACCGCCAGACTGAGTACCTTTCCCCGGTTGAAAATCAAATATGCGCCAGTATACTATTCGGAAGCCAAGCGGGATCCGGCCGTTGATAAATTTCATCGGCGGCCCGTTTTTCCGTTTCAGGCCTGGCCTTTTTTCGGCCCTCGGGCGATATATGGGAAAGGTACTGCCAGTGGTGGTTTGATTGACAAAACTCAGCGCCATGATATGCACATGTCACAGCAAATGGGAAATACTCTAGGCTTTGCAGCAGGTGCAGGTCCCCACCACCGATGGACACGAGCCATCCCCCTTGCAAGGCCTTGATTCAGATGCATTGGTTCTTATACCACCACCCTGACAGAGGCCTTTTCCAGAGATGTATGTTTACACAGAAAAAGAAGAAAGAAAAGAAAGAAGAACGCTTGGCATTTGTAATAGACTATCATCCTCTAAAGGCATATCCACCTCGCGTTTAGTTGGTAGATGCCAGTACAATACGGTCATGCCCCAGCAAAATTAATGGGAAATATTCTAGAAGCTCTGGCCAGTGGCCAGGTGATGAATCTTGTTGGTGGGTAGACATGGCCTAACCAACAGTCCTCCTAGCAATCCCTTGCTTTCAAGTTCTCCCCCTCCTCCTCCTTCATACATGTATCATGATGCATGTGTGCATGCATGCATGCATGCATGATGCTTTATGAGAGCTAATCCATACGAAGACATAGTACCCACTGTGTATACATCTACACTGAGTGTTGCATGTTAAACCACCAGTTTAGACGAGCCTAAGTTGATGGAGCTACTTTCTAAGCCTACCTTCTTCCCCCGAATACGACGTCTGGTCATTATAGCTGTACTTGAGGCATCTTTCAGTCCAGTTAGTAGTTACAGCTCTAATGACCGTAAGTTGTATTTGGGGGAAGAAGGTGGCGAGCCTGAGACTGCACCTTTCCAAAGTGGCCTGCCACGTTCACTCACTACCAACCCCTGCCTGAATCCAAAAGCTCTTACCACGTATGCCGGTGAGAGAGAGCCCTTTAAATTTCTGCCTCGGGTGAACTAGCGGTTTAAACCACCAGTACTTTCTAAAGTTGTGCCCGTACATATCAAGCCACAAGCCACAATTTTTGGAAACGTACAGGCCACTACTGGAGCGCCCAAATTCACCTGACTACAAACGTTTTTCTTCTCTTTTTTCCCCCCCCCCCATGGCCGATAGCCGGGCCAAGTACTGGTGGTTTAAACCGCCAGTACACAGCCCCAACCTTGCAGAAAAGTGTGAGTTGACAACTCCGAACTTTTCGTGGCTCGGGTCTACTGGACCACCATGGCTGGTGGAGCCAGCTGAAAAAGAAAAACAGTGCGCTGGTGGTGGTCAATTGATAATGGAATAAATCGTCTTTTTCCCGAGAAAAAGAAAAATAAAAAGTCTTGGGGTTTGCCGACGACCAATACTCGCATCACGTCATACCATTTCACAATCCTTGCACAACTGCATAATTCGAAATGTCAGCCTTGGGCACTGGGCCCGTTTAAAAAAAAAAAAAAAAAGCCACCAGCAGACATGACATACATGCACGCGAGAGAGAAGAAAAACCGTCCGGAACACAGCACTCAAATAAATTGTGACCAGGTTTCCTGTATTCCTGAAGCATGCAATGCTCCACAATGTAGTACGACAAATAAAAGTCTGAACTTTGCAAGCCAAGGAGATTATGGTAAACATAAATACAATTCTTATGGACCACTGATTAGGTGTTATATACACACGGCATTGTCACTGATTAGGTGTTAAATACAATTGAGAGCAGCTCCAGCGAACGTTGACTCCAATAGTGAGGCTGATCGCGGAGCGGCTCCAAGACTTCCTAAGACTGAAGGCCACTGCTATCCGGTCACCTCCCCTCCAAGTAATGCCTTGAGCGATGTTAGTAGGTTAGTGGTAGACTAGCCTGTACAGACTGTATACATCTAAGATCCAGGGACGAAGTTCTGGGCGTAGGCCCAGGCGTTGTTGGCGACCGGGTCGGCCAGATGGTCGTTCAGGTTCTCCAACGGGCCCTTGCCGGTGACGATGGCCTGGACGAAGAAGCCGAACATGGAGAACATGGCCAAGCGGCCATTCTTGAGCTCCTTAACCTTCAGCTCAGCCAAGGCCTCGGGGTCGTCAGCCAAGCCCAAGGGGTCGAAGCTGCCGCCCGGGTAGAGGGGGTCCACCACCTCTCCCAGTGGCCCGCCGTTCACTCTGTAGCCCTCCACGGCGCCCATGAGCACCACCTGGCAGGCCCAGATGGCCAAGATGCTCTGAGCGTGGACGAGGTTGGGGTTGCCCAAGTAGTCCAGCCCACCCTCGGAGAAGATCTGAGCGCCGGCCTTGAACCACACAGCCTCGCCGAACTTGACGCCGCTGTTGGCCAACAGCTCGGGAGTGAGGCAGCCGAGCGCGCCGAGCATGGCCCAGCGGGCGTGGATCACCTCCAGCTCCCTGTTGCGAGCGAACGTCTCGGGGTCCGCGGACAGTCCAGCGGTGTCCCAGCCGTAGTCGCCGGGGAACTCGCCAGTCAAGTACGACGGAGTCTCACCGGACAACGGGCCGAGGTACTTGGGGCGGTCGGGGCCATACCTGCAATGCCATGCACACACCAACGCAAACATAAACATACATTAGAGCACGGCAAACGACCGCCACAACCAGTGATATGAATGAACCCTCAACATGCACAGGAGATACCGCACAACGAGCGGAAAAAGAGTGAATTCAATCACCCAAGGGAAAGATCATTATGCAAGAAAACGAAGGACGAGGATCGTGAGGGTAGAATGGGACGTGAGCACCTCCCACGTGGCTGAACTGTGTACACACATGTAACAACCGACAAGCAGATCAAGCGTTCAAATCCTATTGGCTGTAAGAAAGTCAGGGGCGATGCGTTGAACAACATTCACAAGAAAGAAAAGGCCGGGAGGCAAAGCAACAGAGGAGAGGGAGGAGGGAATGTGAGCCACAACAACATGCACATAATGAAAAAGACTTTAAAAAAGACAACCAAAGTACGAATGCCACGTCGCTTACGTACTTTGGTTGTCTCTTTTTCAACATGCATCCATCCGAGGCTTACAAATGGAAACCGACGAAGAAAATGAATTTAAGCTTCGGTCAGGTTTACGTTTGAGAATGCCACGTCGCTTACCCAAGTTCGCGCTGGGGTCGAATCAAAGAATAGCAGGGGAGCTTCCTTGCATGCAGAATGACAAAATAAGCCTAGTCTGTTTCGGGTTTTTCTTTCCACCCAGTATAGACAAGGCTTATTGTGTCAATCTGCATGCAAGGAACCTACCCTGCTATTTCTTTGACCCGACCCCTTCACAACCGGATACCTTTGTCATTGTATAGACAAGGTGACTGGTTGTGCGCTCAGCCATTCCCAATGGAACAAACAGCCATGGCTGAGGCCCGAGCGTCGCTTAAGGTGCGTAAGCAGGCCAAACATGTGTACGTGGGGAGAGAGCTGCTTATCCAGTCTTGCGATTTCAGACTGGCCACGTTCCCCAGCAATACTTATCCCAAAAAAAGCAAACAGAAGAAAGAAACAAAATAAAAAAAGAAGAAAAGAAAGAACGAAACAGATCATCATGTTCTTTGTGCGAGGGAACAGACGATAGAGCCTTCGAGAGAGAGGGCGTTGAAAAACGTTCACGTCAAGCCGTGTCGCTGGCGCGGATTTGCGCACGACCAAGCCATCCATCTCTCTCTCTCTCTCTCTCTCTCTCTCTCTCTCTCTCTCTCTCTCTCTCTCTCTCTCTCTCTCTGAGACTCTTTACCTGTGTGTGAGGCACAGAGTACACAGACTCTCTCTCTCTCTTTCTCTCTCTCTCTCTCTCTCTCTCTCTCTCTCTCTCTCTCTCTCTCTCTCGCGCGCGCGCGCGCGCGCGCGCGCGCAGACACACATACGAACAAAGGGATGAAGAGTGTTCATCATGAGAAAACAGTGTGCGAGAGAGAGAGAGAGAGGGAGAGAGAGAGAGAGGGAGAGAGAGGAAGAGAGGGAGGGGGAGAGAGAGAGAGAGCCCCAAGGACCATCGATTGCACGTCGGGGAGGAAGAGAGTGCGGATATCGGAAGACGGAGGGTTGAACACAGAATGAGCACTCGACGGGACGTATTGCCGCCTGTAGAGACAGGATGGCGGAATGGGCGCGCGACCGCCGTCCTCCCCGAGCACAACGCGTACTCCTCACGAGTATATCGGACATGGTGAGTGTGCTTTGTGTTTGTGGGTAGAGGGTAGGAGAAGTGTGAAGCACACGACAACGGAGTGCGACAGCCATGGCGCGAACTGAACTGACGGCAAACCTGGAATGATTTGACACACGAAGGATATGGCTGTTTGCCAGGGATTGAGGCAGCAACCGCCCAACTCGCAAGGATTCGTCGTTGACGGACGCGGGCCAAACACACAGAGAAAAAGAGAGAGAGAGAGAGAGAGAGAGAGAGAGAGAGAGAGAGAGAGAGAGAGAGAGAGAGAGAG